TAAATTTTATAACTTGAAATTTATCAGGTATTGTGATAAGGACGTAAAATTGTTATATTGAGCATATAATAAATGTACGATTAGTCCATGAACATGACTTTCTTTACAGATAAACTTTATCATACCTCTGATTAAAGGAGGCACCAGAATAACTTGCATCTTATCACGATCAAGTAATTACACAACGGACACAATTTGCTTGAAAGCATAAAATGTTGTTCATAGCGACATCTATTCTAATCACTATGCGATTGCTGCTTGAAAATAAACACAAGATCCAATTGTAAAATGAATATATATATTGATATGATATTTAAGGAAATATTTTTTTTAATGTTAATATATGTTTCAAAAATTATGACACGAAAAGGTCAAATATGGCATTTCCTACTTTTATCGGTAATAAGTTTCAATTTTTTTATTAGAAATGTTGCATATTCTTTAAGGGTTCTAATCATAAATACTCAGTTTTTAGAAAGAAAAATTAATGGCTAATTTCAAATTTGAGGAAGTCATTATGTTCTAGGTATTCAAGGAAACAGGATCTGCTTCATTCAAGCAGAGATAACCTTTAGAGCAAGTTCTAATATCCACACTCTTTATTCATATACGAGATAATTCATATGGTCTTCTAAGGATTTGGTTTACCTTTTGAAAGGATGAATTTAAATGTAATTAAAATGAATTGTTGATTTGTTTGAAGCAATACAGACGAAATAATTTGTTTTTTTTTTTAAATATTTTGGTCAGTATCCAATCATTATATTTCAAAGATTTATTAAACGTTATCAAGTTTCAGTTATGTACTATTTAAGATTTAATAATTTGCAAGCAATGTCACTGGGAATATAGCTAGGAAATTTCATAACACAACGTTTTATATATCTTTTCGATAACCCTTTAATACAGGAATTGCACTAGAAGTTTTCCCCTGGTCCAAAGGTTCAAAACAAAGATGACCTTTTTTCTCTCGATTTTCATTGTCGTGTCCGTTTCCAAGTAAAGAATGATGTCAAAGAAGTGTTAGTTTTGTACGGCTGTAATAGCAATCTCGGTGTGATTGGAATCGTAAAAGGCACTTTTTGGGGAAATTGATTAAAGGGTGCAATAACTAAAGAGTGATGTTCGTAGATTACCTTATGAAGACTACCCAATCAAACCTTACAAACAGCAATCCAACAACAATAAAACAAGAACTGGTTGTAAACTTTATTTATAAACAGCTCTCTCTCTCTCCATGTCTCTTAAAAGATCCTTATATATTGATATCTTTTTCTTAACATGCTCAAACTATTTGCCACTGACCGCTAATCATTCAATACTTGATAAATCAAGACTGACTAAATACAATTGCTGCAATGCACTATAGTGTCCAAAATAACATGAATATGCTTACTATAAAAAAATGAACTATATAGAATGAATTGTCCGAATATTTTTCAACTGTACAAACACATTCTGCAAGATGAATTCATATGCATGCATGCATGCTTACAGTAAATAAAGTCTCCTTAAAATGAAGGATTGAGACATGCAGAGAGATGTAGAGTGTACATCAATAATACAGCAATCTAACAACAAGAAAACAAGAAAAGACACTAAGAAATCACGATACAATACATCAAGTTCAAATAAAAAAAAATGTTTTTCTGTTACAAATCATGATGTATTGTTTTATGTGTACATGTCATGCTGCCCATCAAAGGTCCTTGATTTGAATAACAAATATTCTCAGTTCTAAAACGTACCAACTTAATACAACTTTTGATTAAATTTTCCAGACACTACAAAAGAGCTGCAACCAACGCCAAATTATTTAAAAGATTTAAGGACAGACCACCATGCTTTGAGGAGAAACATGACTAGATCAACCACATCAACATAAACGGAGTTTTACTCCCATTTTCGCACACAAGTTTTTTTGGCTACGTATATCTTATAGGAGGTCGAAATTTATGCAAGTAAAACTATACATTTCCTTCAATTTGGGTATGTCTTTTTATTTGATACCGATATAGAGAAAGCCGCTTGATTCGTTTTTGAATTATTCTTGTAAAGATTAGTCCTGATAATCAGGACTGTTTTTATAGTCCTTTCAATTAGACATCTGAAATTCAAACTTCAAAGGTATCTTTCCTTGTATTATTTCAGATAAAATCCGATAATGCAAAGTCGTAATGGAAGCATCGGCCTTCGAAGTAAAAATGTCCCTACATTTTTGCAATCACAAGCATGACTAATAAAATGTCTAAATATGTTAGCATATCAAACACAGATCTCATATATATATATATTATATGTAACAATCAAGATTAAGAGATACATATCTCTTTATAATAATATATGTAGATAGTGACATTTGTTGTTCGAAAATATTGGCGCCAGAATTTTTAATTCATACAAATAATATCTTGCATATTTGAAAAAAAGTTGTTAAATTTTTAATAATATAGTAAAAGGGTTTTATGGTTGTTAAAATTAAAAAGATTAAAAAGTAATCCAACAGTACCTACATGTAATCCAGGGGGAAATTGCTGTATGCATATTTTAAACAAAATAAAGTTTGTAAACCACACACTTTTTTCAAGTATAATTCAAGGTTTGACACTGATATTCGAAAAAAGTGGTCATGTAAGAAGTGTCTATACATGCATGTGATTGTTGTCACTAGAACGATTAAATTTCTGTTCAATTAAATCAGATACATATAATCAAAAGAATAACAAAAGTAAATCAGATGCTTAGCTTTCAGTCACAAATGTTAGATGAAACCGATTAGTTAAGAAAGTTGAGTCGACCAAAATTTTCCAATGTAATATTTGGATCAGACTTTGATATTTTATTACAAAAGGTCAAGGAATACTTTTGAGCGTATAATAATTGAATATGAATAAAATGAGATGTGGGATAATAAAGGTCAATAAGACAACAAATCATCATTTAAATAAGAAGTTGGATTCAAAATTATCAGTATAAAAATAAGGAGATGTGGTATGATTGCCAATGAGACAACTATCCACCAAAGTTCAAATAAAGTGGATGTAGGCAATTATAGGCAATCGTACGGCCTTCAACAATGAGAAAACCCCATACCGTATGGTCGGCTATACAAGGCCCCGACATGAAAAATATGAAACAATTCAATTCAGAAAACTAACGGCCTAATTTATAACAAAACAATTTACGAAAAACAAGTATGACAGACATGAACCAACGACAACTACTAAACTACAGGCTCCTAACTTGGGACAGGCACATTAATAATGTGGCGGTGGCGGGGTTAAACATGTTTGTGAGCGCTCAACCCTCCCCTAACCAGGGACAGTGGTGTAACCGTTCAACATTAGAACAAACTATAAAAATCAGTTGAAAAAGGCTTAACTCATCAGATAGATACAAATAGAAATACATGTAACAAAAACAAAGAGTGGACGTGGACGGGTACTTGTACATCCACACAACAAAAAGGTCCAAAAAGAAGTGGTTATATCTATAGTGAAATGATTCAGAGTTGTTATAAGATTCATGGTAAAAATACTTCATTTTTAAAATATCAACCAGTACACATCAAACATCCAATAGATTTAGTGTAAAGACGTCATTAACAGTCAGAGAAAAACATACCTATTTCTGTTTCAAAATAAACGGAAACCCATAAATAAACACACCATTAAATCTATATATAATATAGTAACAAGTCCTTTGGGTATATTATGACATAGATATAGTTCCTTTCAAGCCATTGTATAAACTTCAATAAATGTTACATAATGTAGTATATTAAACCAAACAAACAGTGTATCAGCCTTATTCCACGAGCTTTTGTTAATCATTTTTAATACAAAATGAAATTATATCTCAAAATGCACTTTTATTTCTGTCTCCATAGATAGTTCAGTTACTTCAAATGCACGTTTCCACCATGAAGAAGATTTGACTTAATACACATGTGGTGAGGGGAGGATCATAACTAATTAACTACCACAACTAATCAGATAGGTATTATTTTCCAGATTTCAAACGTTTTGTGCAGGGTACTCGGTATCCTAGCTGATTATCCTTACCATAAAAAAAGAACCCCTGCCCTCCCCCTTTCACATGGAGAGGCGAGAGTTTTCTCATTGTTGAAGGCCGTACGATTGCCTATAATTGCCTACATCCACTTTATTTGAACTTTGGTGGATAGTTGTCTCATTGGCAATCATACCATTGTAGGTATAGATATAAGCAGACTTGCATTTGACCTTGGATCACAAAGGATGTCAATGCATGGACAGGAGATAATGAAAACCGAAAAAATGTACAAGTGATGTACATGTAAGCTATCAACTAAACTCATAAGAAAACTCTTTTATTGCTGTTCTTTATCTTCAAGTCATCATGAATACAAAATTCCATGAACATAAAGGAAAATGCTTTCATTTGACATGGTGTGCAATATAACGCAATTCAAAGATTAAATTGGTATTGTTAATTGGGTATAGAAATGCTAATGCATTTGATGTGGTGCAAATATGTTGTACAATCATTATCTGTGTCATCTATATGACATTTGAATATCTATGTGATAATAGATATAATTACTCCAAAACTATTTTACAGAAACTGGTGAAATTAGCTATTCAATACAAGTTACAGGAAATAAAAATTTTAACATTGCATAGAAAGTTTTCACTATTATATTTAATTCAAAATTAGGTAATTTCCTTCAATTTTAATATCCTCCTATCTATATACTACATTTTTGTTTCCAAAAATAAATTTGTTCTAGTATTTAAATGATAAATCTTTTGTAATAAATGTGTATATATGATAATTTGACTATCATCCATTAAAAAATTAAATATTTGAATATTGTATTTTACAAAAGGCATGTGCAAATAACTATAGAAAATCACAGATAAAATATTTAAACTCAAAAGAACTAAATAAATAAAATTGAAATATTGATAATTATAGTACGAGACATATAAAGATACTACAAACTAAAACATACTTACTTTTGAAAGGTTTTGGATTTGACTGTTTTCTCCGTGACATTTTAAAGTGTTTCGCTAATCACTTAAACTCCCCGGTTTCTTGTCAACTGACATATGTAAATTGCGCGGTGACTCGGTGACCTCTATAACAATAATTGCGCAATGACCTCTTAAGGTTAACATGAATATGCAATAAAAGTGACTGCAATACACAAATAATATGAGAAGCACGTTGTTGTTTGTTGTCTATTCAAATACTTTTCATTTATAATATCGGTTTACAAGAGCTGGAAAATTGTCAACTGTTTGTCATAGTCCTCTGATACAAAATGGTGAATTGAATTTAAAAACTGCCTAAGGATAAGCACAGTACGTTGGTTACAAAGATAGGAAAATAAGATAATCTCTATTTTATCAGCTGATTTTATCTAATCATTTGAACAATCAAGCTATTCATCTTTAACTTATCGTATGCTAGTCACGGAAAAGAAAAAGATAAAATCCTCGCTCGATATATTTCTTTCAATCCAGATTTCAACATAAAATTCTACAACAATGTAAAACTTCTTTATTTATCATACTCGATGAAGAATGTATTGTTTTCTCGTCGCATATGAGATCCCACGATAAGCAAAGAATAAGCCAATCGAATTGTGGCATTGTAATTTACAATAAGGGATCTGATATAGATTTTATGGCCTCTCAACTAGTTGAATGTTACAACCAGGCGACAAAATATGAAGAGGGTTATAATGGGATAAGCACATTATTTTATCTAGTATTAAACTATTGATTTGTTATGTCGTAAAACATTTGATATGTACAAAAGATATAAGACAACATTGAAATTATAGCAGCTTGTTCAGTATATGCCGTTATCAAGTTATCAATTTTAATTCAGGTGACATCTTGTTTTCAATGCTTTTAAAAGTCACCCCCATAATGAATATTTAAATTTATTAAGAAATACAGTGGCTAATATTAGAGTGATAAAAGGTACACTGTCATACATGTGTTCTCGTTTGATATTCAATGTCAGTTTTTATTGTGTGATTTGTTCTTTCATTTCAAAAATCAAAGACGAAATTAGAGTATTGATGGAATATATATAATCTACGATGGTTTTCGCGTCTATTCAACATTTATGAATGAGAAGAGTTTGGGTATTCGTCAACGAGACAGCAACCAACTAATCAGAAAACGAAAATACATCTTGTTTTCAACTTTTGTCTATTCAAGAATTCTATTTTATCAGGTTTGAGTTGTGTGTTACTTATTCAAACAGGTAATGATAGCTTATTTTGCGTTTATAGACAATTGAAACCACTGTGCAGTCCATGTGAATCTTTTCATTGATGATTCATTATTCTAATACAGTGAAAACTTTCATTTCTTGTCATATGCGTATTTTTTATGAACCGATTGTTAATTCAGTTTCGTTTGCAGGCAAAAAACTTTAAATAACATGGTATGGTCAAGTAGTCAAAGTTTTTCTTAACTTTTTAGACATTTCAACAATAGGAAATTTTGTACTACAAGCAATCTGCTTGCAATAAATTGTTTTAGTGTATCACAAGGAAGGAATTGCACCAAGTGTTCCAATTGGTAAATTTGAACTCGTACCGTCGAAAGTTTTGCGGACGCCCTCATGAGTTGGTTGATCGTTATGGGATATATTTGTCATAGATGACCACGGATATATATATATATGCTCTAATTTTCTTAACAACAAGCCCGTCCTCTTTTCCTCAATTAAAGGTGACATCGCCGAATGAGACTCATCACCAAGGTTGAACTTACCATGATTAACACAATGGGTGCCAGTAGTTCATGGAGTAAGATCGACCTACCCTTCCGGAGCATCCGAGATCACCCACACGTTTTTGGTTAGTTCCGTGTTGCTCAGTCTTAAGTTTGCTTTGTAGAAAGTAAAATAACAAAAATACCAAACTCCAAGGAAAATTCAAAACGGAAAGTCCCTTTTCAAATGGCAAAATCAAAAGCTCAAACACATCAAACGAATGGATAACAAATATCATATTTCTGACTTGGTACGGGCATTTCCTTGTAGAAAATGGTGGATTGTAGGGTTTTGTGGACTTGCTTCTTTTGTTTTATAAAATGGCATTGTCAGTTTATCTTGTGAGTTTTGAATATCTCTTGGTATCTTCCGCCTCTTTTAGCTGCTATTTACCAATACTTACAATGAGTACTGAATTGCCAATGATTTGACTCGATCTTCCGTGACTGCAACGGAAATATACGAACACGACTGAATTTGTGAGTAGGACAATATTTCAAGTTTAACATGTAGACGAAAGTCATAACAAGTCTCGTTATTTCCATCTACAGAATTTAGATCAAAAAGGACGTTTCAGTCTCATATCCAGACACCACTATACTTAAATAAATGAGGACAAAGATATTTTAAAAGATATAAAGTTTATCTCTAATTTAAACTGATATAATATCATAAAATCTTGATTTATATCATTCCAGATAAGTGGATAGAATTACACATAATCTGATGTTACAAAAAGTTTCTTGTCAACAGGAATTAAGTTTCATTATACATTTTAAAAATCGTTTAATAAATACGCCTGAATTGAGTAAATCATTTCAGTTTTGCAATAAAATAAGAATTTTTACAATATTTTTTTCTTTAATTCACGATAAAAACTAAAAATTCTGTTTTTAATGTTGTTGTTAATCAACAAGGCTGAGTTCGAATCCCGGCCAGGGAAGAACAAAAAATTTGCTTCCGTAAATTTACAGATCTAACATTGTTGTGCTGTTGTTTAGACGAATTATATATATATATAATATATAAGTTGTTAGAGGAGGGGATAATGCGTCTGTGCAATGCTAGGCTGTGTTGTCGTAGAAGTGAGAAGTGAAAACTACAGGCTCCAGCCCCGTTCGGAGAGGAAGTAAAGAATCAGATCTACATTGTTAGGTCTATTTTCTAAGCATTTTATAATACATTGTATGTATGACTGGGTTGAAAAAAGTAAGAGTATACTATAAGTGAGCAATCCAAAACCATGTACATGTATAACCAAAAAAAGATAATAATATGCCCCCACCCAGCCATCAACCCCTTAAAAAACAAAAATAACAAAGCCGACATATGAATACACAGAACACTAAAGATTGAGCAAAATGAATTCTACAAAAACATTGAGTTGACTTCATGTGTTCCCAGAGAAACATTGGGTTGACTTCATGTGTTCCATGAGAAAAATTGAGTTGACTGTATGTGTTCCGAGAGACATATTGGATTGACTTCATGTGTTCCGAGAAGGTTAGCTGTTTCTGCTCAACTAGTGTAATCTGTCTTATTGCTCATAAATAAAAAAAAAATCGTTGATAAGTCGATGATATCAAAATGAGGAAAAGGGGACAGGGTTCTAATGACCACACTTGGTACATATCCGTGATCATCTATGGTACAGATTTTCCATTAAGGTCAAACACCATCATAATGGCGTCCATAAAACTTAAGAAATGACTTCAACTTTACCACTTAGAACCCTTGGCTGAAAACCTCATGGTAAGAAGCAACCCTCCATCAAGAAAATCATGATAGAAAACGCAAACCCTTATATATCGTATTCACTGTGAGACAAATATACTCAATATGTAAGGAGCTGCTAGACAATGTTGCTATCATAAATGGAAAGTTTACAATGGGAAGTTAAAATAATCTCTTTTGGCGTATATAGTTTAGTTCTCAGCCGGTCCAAATGTCAACTTCAAGGTGTAAGTCAAGGTATGAAGTCTATATTAAACTATTTTTGTATCTGTATCGGCGGCATCAATTTAATCAGCAAAGTCTACAAACTTTTGCGGTATTGAGTAAAACGACATCAAGGAAGACCAGTTCGGGATTCATACTCATGGATTGACATGCTAGGTGTGTTATCATAAAAGAAAGCAGACCAACCAATTTTAACATAATTCTTTCATAATGGAATCACAAACTTAGTCTTCTTTTTATAACATTTATACCTATATTCGTCGACTGATTTATCAACTCAGCCTTTTACACGTAGCTGAAATCTAAACCTAGCAGGAAATTGTGACCTATTCAGTCCATCGTTAAAAACAAGCTTCCAGCACAATCTAAAGATGAAAAACAGCAATTCCTTCAATATGTGGATGATGAACTAGTATTTGACGGTACGAACATTGTCACTTGTCATGTCATGTAACATGGAAATATAATTGCAAAGAAAATACACAGTAAGAATCAACGAGAAACAAATATCAAATTTACAATAAAACATTTTACTACAAATATCAATATTACAATAAAACATATTACTACAAATATCAATATTACAATACAAACATTGCTACAACTATAACAATTCAATGCTATCAATATAAAAATTCAATGGTACCAAATTCAATGCTACCAATATAACAATGCAATGCTATAAATATAACAATACAATGACACCAACATAACAATTCAATGCTACAAAAATAATAATACAATGCTACCAATATAACAATTCAATGATACCAATATAACAATACAATGCTACAAATATAACAATTCAATGCTACCAATATAACAATACAGTGCTACAAATATAACAATACAATGCTACCAATATGACAATTCAATGCTAACAATATAACAATTTGCTACAAATATAACAATACATTGCTACCAATATGACAAATCAATGCTAGCAATATAACAATACAATGCTACAAATATAACAATACATTGCTACCAATATGACAAATCAATGCTAGCAATATAACAATACAATGCTACAAATATAACAATTCAATGCTACCAATATAACAATATGCTACAAATATAACAATGCAGTGCTACAAAAATAACAATACAATGCTACCAATAGGACAATTCAATGCTACCAATATAACAATATGCTACAAATATAACAATACATTGCTACCAATATGACAATTCAATGCTACCAATATAACAATATGCTACAAATATAACAATACAATGATACAAAAATAACAATACAATGATACAATATAACAATACAACTCAAAGTTTTAAAGGGGCATTAGCTATCAATTCCATGTTCACCAATTTGACTCAAATTCTCATATTTGATTTATAACATACTAAAACGAGTATCCAAATAATAAAAAGTCTAAAATAAGCAATTTACCATGCATGTATTTGATAATATGTATCAGCATTTCCTGTGTATTTTAGTCTATACGCCATCTAATTTACCATCGAGGTGACCTCCGAAGACTGCCGACGGTCATATAACCCAATATAAACATAAGTATGGATATAAATAGATAGCGAACTCGTGCAATTGAATTTTCTAGGTCTGTTTGATTTCATATTATAGGTTATGAAAATATGTTAATCGTCGTTTTTACCTGTATGAGAATGAGTTTTT